TCTGGCATGAACCCGCAACTTCCTATTCATTCATTAATCACCTTGGGGAGGGACGAAAAATGAGAGAATAAAGAATAGAGAGGTGTAAGTTGAGAGAAAAAGCGAGCCTGAGGGTTTTGAGAGAAAAACCGAGCTTGAGGGCCGAGTGATGTGAGAATCACAGATCAGAAAGGGTGGGAAATAATACCCAGAGAAACTGGCTCCTCGTGATCTGAGGTCCCCCGTCTTCGTTGACGCGTCTGTATGTCGTGTCTTTTGTTTTGTTTACCTCAACCTTTGTTTTAGGTTTCTTCCGAGCGTGCCTCGTTGTGCTTAGGTCGTGTACCCTTTTTGTTTGAGTCCTCCCCGCTGTGTTCAGTTGTAGGCTCGATACCCCGGTTTGAAAAAAAGAAAAAAAAAAAAACCTTATTTAATTTCAAAAATTATTTATACTGTGCTCCAACTCCAACCGGTTCCATCTTTGAAGGCCGTCTTGTCGGATTGGGCTGTTTTGTTCAAAGTTTGGTGTGTGCAGAATAAACCAAGTGTTGGGTTATGGGCCATATGCAGATTAATCCCCAGTAGAGTAAGGGCTGTGTGTCCAGAATCAGGCAGTGGGTTGCTTGGGTTATTTTGCTGTTGGCTGTTTAGTTATCTGATTATTACAGTATAAGTGTTCAATTTTCAGACAACCAATCAATTTCATTTACATTGAGGTGTAATATGGTGTGATGCGATGCAAAGTATAAAAGGTAAAGATATACGGATGTAACACTTTTTTAAGATAAAAAGTTTATTCATTTCATGATCTTTTAAGTACACAAGTTTTGGAAAACAAAAATCTGCCTGCAGCAGTACAAGGTATCCTAACTACCAACAAAATGGAAAAGTACAAGAAAGAGAAAAAACAAACAAAAAATCTGTATCCATGACGAGCACTCCGGGGGGCCATCAGTCTGTCCTAGTCCTCTTCCTGGACGAAGGTCCAGGAGCATCATCAGCATCGTCATCAGAGCCCGAGCTAGAACTGCCTCCGGTCTCCTCCTCCGATGACTTCGCCTCCGACTCTGCCTCCGCCTCTGACTCCTCGTCATCATCATCATCCGAGACTGGAGCTCG